AGTACATGTAGCAAATTTATATATATATATATATATATATATATATACATCCTCCTGGGATATTGATCTGGTCACTTAAGTAGCAGAGGGAGTTGTTGATCAGTTTCAGCTGCTTTGGAGTTAATGAAATTAACAACCAGGATGGCACATCAATACGTGCCATTGCCAGAAGGTTTGCTGTGTCTCCCAGCACAGTCTCAAGAGCATGGAGGAGATTCCAGGAGATAGGCAGTTACTCTAGGAGAGCTGGACAGGGCCATAGAAGGTCCTTAACCCATCAGCAGGACCGGTGTCTACTCCTTTGTGCAAGGAGGAACAGGGTGTCCCTTACGAAAAATAAGTTTATTACTGTGTAACATTATGGAATAAAATGTCGACCAATGAAGAGGTAATCATGACTGTCAAGCTTTGGGGTGTTGATCGACTTTGTCTATGTTTTGATTATCATTCTGAATCCAATCATAGTCTTTTTTCAGCTTTTTGTTCAAAATGTTGTTTATTTCTTTATTTTTTATTTATGAAACTTCTCCACATTCAAGTATTTAAAAAAAGAATGCATGTAAGAGTTTTTTTTAAGAAAAAGAAAAACAAATAGATATTAAAGCTGCAAGCAGCGTTGAAAGGGCCCTCTCACCCGGGCTCACCACCAGCTGGTGGCTTTAGTAAAGCAGCAAACGGTGAGCAAAGTGCATTTAAAGTGGTTCATATAGGAGGAATATGTCAAAGTCATTTATATGTACTAAACTTCCTGCTGCCAGCTGGTGGTGCTATGACTATAACTGAATATTGACATGTAGATGTCTTCAGGCCAGGACTCTTACCAAACATGTTAAGTTTGGTGCAGATTAATGATAGTATATTTGAGTGAGTGTAAAACATGACATATCATATTGCCAATGGGTGGTGCTATGTTTATAACTGAATATTGGCATTCATATGTCTTCAGGCCAGGACACTTACCAAACAAGAAATTTAGGGCAGCTTGGACATTGCTTGTTTTAGTTAGTGTAAAACATGATATTTCCTGTTGCGAACAGATGGCGCTATAACTATAAATGCATATCGTCATGTAGATGTCTTCAGGCAAGGACTCTTATCAAGTCAAGTCAAGATGGCGCCGATGATGGCTGCCTCCGTGGCGTACTCTGCAGTTGTTTTTATGTTTTTGTTAGTTTGTCCTGTCTTTAGTTATATCCCTGCAATCAGTTTCACCAGAGACAAATTGCTGGACATTCGGCAGTACACATCACCCGATATTTCACCGGTTTTAGACTATTCTGATGTTTTGTGGACATTGTAGTTGGCGGAGCAGCGACGCCATTCCGGACAGCGCGTTGAGTCTGCCGGGCTTTCAGCTGTTTAGAGCGGATCACGACGCAGAATCAATGGGGAAAATGCGAGGCGGCGGGACATGCTTTTACATCAACGGAAGGTGGTTTACA